TATCTCTGAACTTCTCCATCAAACCTCTCAATAAATGTATAGCTTCCATGGTAGACATGCCCGACATAAATCCAAATTGATTATGAGAAATCTTTGTGATGCGTCTTAACCTATGTTCAATTACTCTCTCCCATAATTTTAAAGTATGACACATCAACTTAATTCCTCTATAATTTACACACTCTTGTGCATCCCCTTTATTCTTAAAAATGGGGACCAAAATACTCTTCCTTTACTCCTGAGGCATCTTTTTAGTTTCTAAAATAATATTAAAGAGTTTAGTAAGCCAAGAAACACCCAAATATCCTAAATATTTCCACACTTCAATTGGGATATCGTTAGGTCCTACAGACTTTCCACCATTGGTTTTCTTTAAAGTCCGATCAACTTCTTTTTTACTAATGTGACGGTAAAAATGAAATGTTCTATTATTATTCACGATATTGAGATCACTAAGGTCGATTGTATTTTCAGAAACTTCATTAAAAAGTTTATCAAAATAACTCACCCACCTATGTTGAATATTTTTTCTAAGAAAAGTACTTTTGATTTTCATTTTTAATACACTTGAGTTAAATCATTATTTTTCTTCTCTCTTTGTTTAGCTAGTTTATACATATATATTTTTCACCCTCCTTAGTATCTGATATATTATAAAAATCATTAAAAACACAATTTTTAGCGTCACAGATAGTTCTTTTAGACTCCCTGCGAGTCGTTTGATACTTTTCTCAGTTCTCTAAGTTTTTACATTTAAACCAATTTTTATAACATAACTTCTTTTATTTTATATTTTCTTGCACATTATTATTCTACCACCAACTATATTTATTTATAAAAATTTTTTCTTTTGATTCTCCAAACACATCTTTTTGCTACTTGTTTAATATTGTTTGTTACTTTATCACACATAACATTTGTTTCTTCATGAACATCCCAAATTTTGAAAACTTGAATTTTACTCATAAAAATAATTTTATTTGTGTCTTTTAGGTTCCCCATCTAATTTTACGATGATGAGTCCTAGTATTCTTTATTGTACAACTCTTCATCTTAAAATTTAGAACTAATAAACGATGTTGGGTACATAAATTCTCACTTGAAATGACCTTACAATATTTACAATCTCGACGATCTCTTCTTCTCATAATAAAATAATCAATTTGTGTTTTATTAGATCCACTCTTATGTAAGATGCACATTTCTTTTCTTGAATAAAATATTAGTAATAACAAAATCATATGCTAAAGCAAAAAAATTGTCCTTTTAATGATAAGCAATGTGACTAATAGGCCAAAAAGATTAAGCTTAAATATTGCAGCCTGAGAGTTATCTTTGTGTTCTAATATAATCATTATGCCAAAACGAATTTATCTTTATAAGTATAAGCTAAACTTTATGTTGAGTTAGGATAAATATAATTTAGGATCATTTATATCTTATTGATGCGTGTTGGAAGATTTGTGGTGATAAGAGTGATTATTTAGCGTCTTAGTGTTGCACGAAAATCTATCACACACTCAAGTAATTAATGCGACAGATAGAGACACCAAAAATATTTTACGTTAAAAACCCTGAAAAGTGAAAAAATACGGGGCCTAGCTTAGTTAAAATAATCTACTTTGTAATGTTGAGTAAACATATTTACTCTTTTCTTGAGTTAGGAAAGATGAAATTACAAAGTTTATGTACAACTGTATTTCAGTTGTACATAAACTTTGTAATTTCAGCAATAGTTGCCTCAACGGGCCATGAAGGCTGTATTTGATTACTATGGAGACAATAGTCCGTCATAAATGTTGTAGATGGTGGTTGTAGCATCAGTTTGTTGTAGATGATGTATTTGTAAGCCATAGTAGTATTTGACCATATGGGTCGTAGATGATTGCTTTAGGAGCGTTGGTTGGCCACAATGGTTGTAGAGAGAGTTGCAATAACATTCATAGGTCGTAGTAGGGAGCTGCAATAAGGATCATAGGCCGTAGAGGCCGGAGTTAGGAGTTGCGTGAGCTAGGAGCTGCAACGGTCGTAGTTAATCACATAGGCGATATCGAGGAGCTGTAATAACATATGTAGGCAGTAGAAGTCAGGGTTAGGAGTTGCACGAATTGTGATAAATTTCTTTGGCCACAGAGGTCGGAGTTGGTAGCTGAATGAGTTGTGATAACGTATGTAGGTTACAAAGGCTGAAGTTGAGATTGCATGAATCGTGATATGCTTTGTATATAATAGAGGCCAGAGTTGGAATTTGCATGAGCTGTGATAACATCTATAGACTGCAGAGGCTGAAATTGGGAGCTGCATGAATTGTGATAGCGATTGTAGGCCATAGAGGCGGAAGTTGAGAACTACATGAGCTGTGATATGTTCATAGGTCGGAGTTGAGAGTTATATGAGGTGTGGACTTGTAATTCGTGGTTGGTCACGTAGGCCTTTATAGCTTGTAATAACGTCCGTAGGCCACAGAGGTTGGATTTGGGAGTTGCATGAGCTGTGAATCACATAGACCATAGTTGGTCACATATGCCGTAGTGGCGTGTTGCGATAACGTTTGTAGTTGTGATCCGCGAGAAGAGAGCTTCAGGAGTCTAAAAAAGTCACCGTATTCTGAGTACGATTGTTGTAAGCAGTTATTGTGGTGCGCGTTATTACACAATCTTCGGGATGCGTCGTTACACTATATATGAGACGTCGTTGCATCATATGCAAGGCACGTTATTGCACAGTATAGGAGGTGCTTCGTTACATTCTCTTCTGGGTGTGTCGTTGCGTTGCTCCATAGAGTGTTTTGTTATTTTGCAACGTATGTTAGGATTCTGCAGCACATGTTGTGATTATGCAAGTGACTTTGTTACAACGAGCAAGGGGCGACAAATTGTGATCGACGACGACCAACGAGTGATGGTCGGTGGTTGCATGAGCTGGTGGCGTTCGTTGGACCTTCAGTGTAAAACACTGGACCTTAGTTCCTTCTCCTTGATGCTCCGGTGGTGTAAAACACTGGACCATAATAACTGGTTGTATTTATAGTCTGAGAGAGACCTCCCTACAAATAAAGAAGAATTCACTTTAAAAAAAAATAAAATAATATTGAAGGAATTGAGGGCGACCAAGAGATTCTCTTAATTGGACTATATTCTGTGGACATTTGAGTGCCTTAATAGTGTCAAATCGAGTGTTCTTAGGCTCGTTGGATACCTCTCATCAAGACGCTCGATTTGACTATAAAATTTTTAGATTTGAAATCTGTTTGACCTTTCAATTAGGAACCAGAAGCTTCCAAAAATGGTTTAACGGCTTGACCTAGGTTTGATTTGAACAAAATTTGGTAAATGTTGGTGTCATTGTGTTCGTCTCATCGAGCTGATTAGTTTGACTATAAGTTTGCTGAAATAGGAGTTCTGGATGATTTTTAATTGAAGCTTGAAGATTCCTTGCTCAACAAATTACCTCAAGATCCGTGTCATGCCTCAATATCCGCGTTGGATGATGAAAATTTGTTTATTTTGTATCACTTATGATGGAAAATATTTGAAGGTATTGAATCCCTGTGTTTTAGACTTTTTCTCTTATACAATATTTATAGGAAGATCACACACACACACTTATGCGCACACTTGTTTAGTTAATAGAAAAGGAGCTTTTGATTTTTTTTTGCTATAGACAATACACACAAACACACATACGCTAGAAGTATAGTTAATAGAAAAGGAGCTTTCGATTACCTTTGCTGTGGAAGTAAATAAAAAACTGTATATGCCTAAGATAGTCGTCCTTTAAGAGATGAAGGTGGTACAAATTTGAGGCATTGAACGGAGCAGCATTGAAAGATTAATAACAACAAACCCAATCCGCAAGCAAGCCATTTTCGTGCTAAATCAAATCCATTCCATCCTTTAGATATTTCTCCTATTGAACCTTAGTAGGATTGGTGTAACTTCAGTTTTTTCTTGACGTTGTCAGCTCTAGGATGTCATCTGGCTGATTTTGCAGCTTTCCTAAACAGTATGAATTGCTAAGGAAGTGTGTCCTTGAGATTCTCCTGATTAGAAAGTCAAACATTGTCATTTAAAATATTTATGTTCCACTATTCATTATAAGCAAAATTGTTTTTTTTAAGATTAGCCATTTAAACTTGAAGCTTCTAGCACATGCAACACATTTAACTAAACAAAATGTACCACCCATAATATCAACTTCAAGCCACCATTTAAAATTTTTTTTATCATAACTCGGCCTATGCTAATGCAGAAACAGACGGTCTAACAAGAATTTATACAATAACATGCCATAATAACACTAAATCATTTTTTTTCTATTTCTTTCTTTTTATTTTCTATCCATGTAAAATTTTCAAAACCACAAAAGAATCACAAAACCATAGATGCAATATGGAGATGTTTACAAATGTATATGTATCTTGAATTAATTAGATAATTAGCAAAAAAATATATGAAAAGAAAATATCTAAACTTTCTATAAGCAATAAAGTTGTACAAGTACTTATCGTTAGTTGCTTCACGCCTATAGTATACAAAATCTCTTCATTCATCCATCTACCTTGATGAAGATTTACTTGAAAAACATTTTCTAGCTAAAATGATGAGTTTGTAAATCATAGTTCTAAACTACAGTAACTAAAAGTAAAGAAAGAAAAACAACATGCATGCTAATCATCATAACTAAGTAGCTAGAGTTATTCACAGTTATGGAATCATAATATTATCTTGGCAATAGGAGCTTGAACATATATGAAGCTTTTCATAAAATAAAGCTTTATATATCATTATTTATACTTTACTCTTTTTATAATAAATCTGTCTCAGAAGTACCTTCTTAAGCTCAACTCATCTCTTGCTGTTATAATCCCATTGACATTAAGGGGCATTGTATGAGGTGTAAAGACACCAATTCACTCCTGACCGGTACAAACCATGTTGGGATGTAGATCTTTTTCTACAATTGTATGAGATAGAAGGTAAATCAGTTTGGCTCATTAACATTTTCAACTAGTACCATAGCACGATAAATCTTATCTTTCAATATGTACATGCAGGTACATCTATATACATAATCTATTTTTTTATTCATTATTCTTTGCATGCAATGTCTATTTTAGAGAATCTTACATTTTGCCTTAAAAGCATTTGAACTATTACATGACAACATACATTTCTTTTATCAATATGAAGGATTTTTTGCATTCAAAAAGATAAATCATCATGACAATTGCATTATGATCTTATAATGATGAATTATTTTAAGCATATAAAGAAGAATTCATAAATATTTTATATTAATGCAACAATTTAGAAGAAATGGGGCGTTACTCCAACCTACAATTGAGATTTTACATCTTAACTTGGATTCTGAATTTACTTCCCAACTTCATTATCAACATATCCATAATGAACTCTTATAGATCAATCATAATAACTGAGTGTAAGACATTCGAAGTAAAAATTAAATGCATCTAATTCTTCCTGGCAATTTAATACTTAAATACTATTAATTTCATGTCAATAAGCACACAATCTTCTTACTCCTTTTTTCTTAGATAATAACAAATTATTCTCTTCTAATAAACTAATATTCCGAAATAATTTAGTCTTTTGATTATTATTATTATTATTATCATTATTTAATTATGATAAAACAACCAATTTTCTTTCAAGAAAATATTTAAACTTTTTTATCAAAATTATTTATACATAAAATTTTTTTACTAGGACTTTTGATTGCACTTATGAAACCTAATTGATTTAGTCCCCCCTGTGTGTAAAATCTATGGAAGTCAAAACAACACGTGAAATAAATTATTTTATGATTTTAAACTTTATTAAAAAAAATATTCTCCTTAACTATTAGTTTTATATTCTTTCCTTGTACATATAAGTCCCATAACATTCAAATTCTCGTATAATAAAATCCTCAATAGGGTCTATGAGTTAGCATGCATCAGTTTCTAAGAAAGGATAGCTTGCATTTATAATTAAAGTAAGACATTTTATTTTAGAGAAATTTAGGGTGCTCTCCTAAATTTAGGGATTACATGCAAGTTAAAAGTTGGTTTTCCTCTTAATGATTGAAAGTTTCATGAGAATCCTCTTTTGAAATCCTAGCATGATTGTCTTTTTAATCAATTTGCATAAAGGAGAAAAAAAGTTTTAGGTTTAATTGGTTTACCTTACATCAAGCTCATAAGGGGAGGAAGAAAAGCTGAAGTGAAGGAAGAAGAAATATCACTCTATTGTTGTGATTCCATAACCTAGCGACAAGCATTAATCTCTTTGCTATTGGCCACTCTTGATGCAGCACACGAGAAGCCCCCTTTCTCACTCACACTCCTCCCCCTCTATCCCACGGCTTCACTTTCTCACTCTCTTCTTTGCGGTCTCACTCATGGTCCTCCCCTCTTGCTTGCCTCTTAAAGGCATGATCGGCCCTCGCTTGCCTCTTAATAAATTTTCTCGATGACTAGAGAAACTCTTAATGTTATCATTTATTTTGATTAACTAAAAAAAATTGTTTTGATATTTATTAATTAAATAATTAAAATCTTCGATATTTATAATTTCTTTTTCAATGGGCTGAGAACATTTATATCATTTACTCTCTGAAAATCATTGATGCTTGGAGCATCAATTGATTATGTTGAAGGGCCTGCTGCCCTTTGACCTTGGCAAGAATAATTAAGGGACTTGTTGAAGTATTTGTTGATTTAAACCTTGTTTTATTTCAGTCGATTTGATGGTACACAAAAAAAGCTTTTCACTAATCTTCTTCTAGAACTTTTGTATCAAAGTTTGTTTTTTTTTTCCTTGTTGTGAGTATACATGATTGTTTATATGAATGGTGTGGTAGATTTTGATTCTGATTTTTACTTGAGATGAACACCAGGCCATTTGTTGAATATGTTGGAGTAATCTCCCCAGATCAACTGCAGATCAAACAAAAAGAGCTTGAAGAAGAAGCAATTTCTTTAATCAGTATTGGTGGAAAGGTATTTATTAAGTTTATGTGCGCTTTTGTGCCTATTTTTGGCCTATTTAGTTATTTTCTGCTTTTGTGAGAAAAATATGCAGGTTTCTGCTTCTGTTCTACCTTATGATGAAGCTGTCAGGTGGTGCAACGGTGATCTCCCTAGTTACATTTTGAAGGTCAGAAACGATAAAATTTCCATTGCTTTTATCTTCGTTCTTAAATTTCTTGGTACAGGAATTTTTTCATACTTTTCGGAATGTGCTTTCATTTATGTGTATCTTGAGACAGATTTAGGTCTCTGATGGTCCACCAAATAACACCTTGCTGTAGTGACTTTTGAAGTTCTTGCAGTGGGAGATTGCCTCCATCGTCTTTTTAAAGATTGGCATTCTTCTTTTACAGAATTAAGCATCAGACGTGATCTGAATTTTATAATTTTATAATTTGTAACTTAATACACCATCTTGCACCTAAAGCTGGGTTTCTCCCTTCTTCAACTTATCTTGGTAATGAATAAGCGTGACCTCAACACGTACTTTACTGGAGACAACCTTTTTTGTAGTTCAATTAATTGGTGTGAAAAATGTATGGAGGCGAAGGGGTGGTGTAAATGTTAACATTTAGCCACTTTGGTAGCACCTAAAGGAATGAGTGGAGAAGAAAGATTCAGAGTCGATAGTAAATAGTTGGAATATGGCTATTGCATATAATAACGTTGATGAACACTCACTTTTGTTTGCAAGAAATTTTTTATATAGTAATTCATGTGTTATCATCCTTTTGTACTTTTTTTCCTTCTATCAAAACTCATGTTTTGTTTTACTATTGATTATTTAGGAAAAGTTATCCCTTCCCTTAAAGCCTCATCTATGTGATGAGAACTTGGGAGTAGTTTTCCATGACGTGGATTTGGCTTGTTTTTACTAGATTTCGTTTTACGATAAACTATAGTTTATCTAGCTCTAGTATTTAGACTTCCTAAGAAAGTAAGTCCCCATAGTTACCACTTTCACTGCTCATAAGAGAGCACTTTTGATTAGTGATGTTTCTTAGGCTAAACTTAGTAGTTAGATGCAAATTTAATTGAATGTGATTTCGGGGATAAATTTGATCAACTTTCGATGGTTTCACACTTCGAGTTTGCTGATAAGCCCAATTTACTAATATCAAATGGCTATAAGTTCTATGGAATTTGATTAGCGATTATGGGTTGCCTCACTTATTTGGAGTAGACTGGGGTGAAATTGGGATTCAAATACGAGCTTTAAAGGTTGGCATCAAAAACTATTTTATATGCAGAGGGCTTGCCGTGGTAATTTCATTGAATAATTCAGAGGCATGTGAGATTGCCTGCTCTTTAGAGTTGCAAAAAATCACTGACGAGCTCAGGTGCATGGCATGGCCTTTAGTTGTTTTAATTCCCCATTCTGTAGGCAAGGTCTGCTGGTTTGAATGTAATTGTTGATGTGGTGTGTATCTAAAGCATATACAAAGATGATTTGTTAAGACTCCATGATCAACAAGGAATTAATAAAGCTCATTCATGACGTTTTAGAGTTATTAGTACTTTCTGCATGTATTGATGCATTAACTGAGGGTTTTTATGTTTATATTCAAAATGAGTATATATATTATTTAATATATTTATATATATATATATCAGTTGACAATATAATTAGCTTAAAGTTGGTCCTAATTCATATGTATAATAATTTGAGTTTTTTAAATAAATTTTCATTTTCATTTTGAGATTAAGTCTGAGTAATGAACAATAAAATAAAAAATCTTTTCTACTTCCCAATGGTTTCAGTGATAACGCCAATGCCCTATCTAGGCATCTTCCATCATTTATAAGTCATTAACATTCTATCAACACTGAGGCTGCAACCTACCACTACCCAGTGGCAACACAGTTACCACTTGGTTTATGGCTAGGTATAATTGTTACAGTCAAACAATCATCTTCTTGAACCTGGATGCAAAATTTAGTCTTAATTGAAAATCAATGATGCAGGTATTAGAGCTCCAGATGTTTTAAAGATCAATAACCTAAAATTCTTCAAATTTCTATAAGTTCAATGGTTAACCGTGTGGTTTTTATATTAATTGGATTGAAGATTAAAGGTTCATTGGTGTTTATTTTTCATTTTCACTTGAGGAAATTTCTTAGCACAATGTGGAATGAAAGTGCTAACTTTGGGCGTTGCTTGAAAAAAGGGAGCTTGATGGTGTTGAAGCCGTAAAAAGACATTCCACTATAGTAGAAAGCTGATTCTAGGTTGATACGGGGCTCTGGCAGGGTACCGGTCCAGCTGCTGGACTGGCTGCCCAGGGCATGGGGCAAAAACAACAGCCCCCTTTTTCCCTTCCTTTTTGATTTCTTGTCTAATCAATTCCCCTTTCTTTTCTATGACCTTCCTATTATACTCCTTGCCTATTTTATGCCCTTCCTTTTCTATTTCTTTCCTAATGGGAATTAGTAAATGAAATAAGTAGAATAGGAAAGAAATAGAAAAGGAAGGGCATAAAATAGGCAAGGAGCATAATAGGAAGGTCATAGAAAAGAAAGGGGTGTGTGTGTGTGTGTGTTGTTTGCTTAGGTTAAGATAGTTTTCGATTGTTTCTGAGTTTAGAATTCCTCCTCCGGAATTTTCTCCTTCCAAGAGTTGTATGCGATGACAAGAAGCTGCTCCGGCTGTAACTTGTCCGAGGTGGTGACTATCTCTGTTGTTCCTCCGCCTTCTTGCTGCCATTAGTTCCTTCCAACGCCTCTCGGAGTCCGCCGACTCCTTCATGCACGTCCCAACAGTCCGCCGACTCCTTCCCGCACTTTCCAGCATGCCTCCAACCTCTCTTGCACCCTCTAGCAGACTGTCGATCACCTCCAACACCCTCCAACTGCTCGCCTACACTGTTACTTCCTTGTGCCCCCTTCTAGCAGCCAGCCAACCACTTCTACAATCAGTTCTGCTGCCGCCAACCACCTCTAGCGCTCCCAAGTTGCCTTCGATTCTTTGCTCTTCTCAACAGGCCACTGACCTCTCCTACACCCTCCAGTAGACTGCCAGTTACCTCTAGCATCCTCCAGCGGCCCACCAGCACCTGCAGTTCTACTCTGGGAAGCTTACAAGAGCCACCGGCACTTGCTTCCCTCTCCAACGCCGAACCCCCGTCGCTATCCTTCACCTTCCAACAACCACTCACACCTGCTGCTCCCTCTGCTTACAGCCACTGGCTGCACCTACCTCTCCGCCGACGTTCGCGAATATTCTTCTATGGCCATAGCCGAATCTTGCTAATCTTATTTTCTTGTCTTGTTTTCATTATTGTTAGTCTTTATTGTATCTCTAGTTTTTTGCTTAATAATATTTACTTTGATATCACTTGGTATCAAAGCTAGCCTAACTCTAGTCATGTTCTAAGGTTCCCTAAAATCCGTCAATTTTTCTCTTTTTTTTGTTTCCCTCGCTATCTTTTTTCTTTTTTTCTGTTTTAGTTCTTTTTTTTTTCTTCTTCCGTGGATCCCAAACCATCAACTATACCCTTGAGAAAATACCTACCAGGAATCTGAGATGAAATACAACGGGAGATCCGTCATTTGCAACAGGAATTAACAGGGATGGGTGATGGAACCCAAGGGGAGATTACCCTCGACTGCGATTTGGAGGGTCAAAGGGGCGATAGGGACGAAGTTCTGAATCCGTTTCACAGAGAAGACATCAACACTAAGGAATATTGACCGTGCTCCTTCGAAATCCATTATCAAAGGAGGCCGAAAGACGAACATGCATATGGACACAAGGAAATTAAAGTGAATTTGCCAGAGTTTGAGGGAAGCATGGATCTGGATGACTTTGTCGACTGGATACAATCAGTTGAGCGAATCTTTAAATATAAGGACATGCTAAAGGATAAAGGGTAAAATTGGTTGTCATCACGTTGAAAAAAGTGCCTCTTATGTTGGGAGAACTTGCAGAGGTAGAGGGAAAGAGAAGGT